AGACTCTCCCGCTGGGGCGGTTGCTCGGCTTGGGGATTCTCCACCAGCAGAAGGCAAGCATTACAGCAATGCCCAAGTGAGCGCTGCGTGGAACAAAGAACAAAGCATCAGAGACTGCGATGACACTCTGCGGGGTAATCTGCCTTAAACCAGGCACTTTGAAAAAATCAAGGTGCCAATCGGGTATTAATGAGGGGCAATTAAGGAAGGCTGCATGTTGAGATCAGCTTGTCTCGTTTTGCCATGTGAGACCAAACGGGAATGTGCCACCCAGGGCCGTCTTTAGCAGATGCAGCGCCGGGGTGCAAATATCCGCCCAGCGCCCCCAAATTACCATGGATAGTGTTGGGGTGGCCGTAGCTGCGCACTGCCAGTCATCCGGGGCGGGGGCGCAACTCTCACCCATGCCGCTGTGGGACAGCAATCCCCACAGAGGCTTGGGAGGGAAGCTGCACGCCTGCCAGCCTTATGGTTGGTGGGGCGCAGCTGGTGGGCAAAGCCGCACAGCTCCCCCACTTGCTGGGGCGCCCCTGAGAGGCCGGCGCCCTGGCGCGATGCACCACTAAGCCCTATGGGAAAGACGGCTCTGGTGCTACCCCTGCTGCCTTCCCACCCAAGTCTTGCTTACCAGGGACCTCACGCGATCTCACCAGAAGCCATTGCTTTGCTCCTCCAGTGGTGTGGTGAGACAAAGAAAATCCCCTGTGTTACAACATGAAACAATCTGATCAACAAAAGGCAACCCGCGGGCTAATAATGTACAGTGGTACCTCGGGTTAAGAACTTAATTCATTCCAGAGGTCCCTTCTTAACCTGAAGCTGTTCTTAACCTGAAGCACCACTTTAGCTAATGGGGCCTCCTGCTGCTGCCACGCCGCCACCGCACGATTTCTGTTCTCATCCTGAAGCAAAGTTCTTAACCCGAGGTACTATTTCTGGGTTAGCAAAGTCTATAACCTGAAGCGTCTGTAACCTGAGGTACCGCTGTATAGGCAATATTTATGAAACGCTATCAACTGTTTCTTAATTCATAAACAAAAGCCATCTAATACGTGTAAAAAAGTCCGGGATAATGAACTGTTTCAACAATATTTCTTCCTCAGCAAGTTGTTGTTGTTGTTTAGTCGTTTAGTCGTGTCCGACTCTTCGTGACCCCATGGACCAGAGCACACCAGGCACTTCTGTCTTCCACTGCCTCCCACAGTTTGGTCAAACTCATGTTTGTATCTTCGAGAACACTATCCAACCATCTCGTCCTCTGTCGTCCCCTTCTCCTTGTGCCCTCCATCTTTCCCAACATCAGGGTCTTTTCCAGGGAGTCTTCTCTTCTCATGAGGTGGTCAAAGTATTGGAGCCTCAGCTTCAGGATCTGTCCTTCCAGTGAGCACTCAGGGCTGATTTCCTTCTGAATGGAGAGGTTTGATCTTCTTGCAGTCCATGGGACTCTCACGAGTCTCCTCCAGCACCATAATTCAAAAGCATCCATTCTTTGGCGATCAGCCTTCTTTATGGTCCAGCTTTCACTTCCATACATCACTACTGGGAAAACCATAGCTTTTACTACGGTAAAGCAAGTTAATAGTCCCCAAAGGTACACAAAGTGATCGTGGATCAGCTCTCACTCAGAAGTGTGGTAGGCTGATCCTACTGTCGTTGAAACAGTTCATTATCCTGGAAGAACTGTTCTGTTTGCTGCTTGTTGCTGCTGTGCTTACAGAACCACGTGGCTCCAGTTCATTCTCAACCAAACTTTGATATAGATATGAACTGTGGAAAGACTTTCTGCCTCCAGTGGTGGTAGCAGAGGCAGGTGGGGCGGTTGCCTCAGTCTGCCCCATGGGTGGGCCGGCCGTATCCAGAGGTATCTAAAAAAAGTATATATTCAGCTGCACATGCATCAGAAGGTGGTGGAAAAAGAATCATAGAATCATAGAATCATAGAGTTGGAAGAGACCACAAGGGCCATCGAGTCCAACCCCCTGCCAAGCAGGAAACACCATCAGAGCACTCCTAACATATGGTTGTCAAGCCTCTGCTTAAAGACCTCCAAAGAAGGAGACTCCACCACACTCCTTGGCAGCAAATTCCACTGTCGAACAGCTCTTACTGTCAGGAAGTTCTTCCTAATGTTTAGGTGGAATCTTCTTTCTTGTAGTTTGGATCCATTGCTCCGTGTCCGCTTCTCTGGAGCAGCAGAAAACAACCTTTCTCCCTCCTCTATGTGACATCCTTTTATATATTTGAACATGGCTATCATATCTCCCCTTAACCTCCTCTTCTCCAGGCTAAACATGCCCAGCTCCCTTAGCCGTTCCTCATAAGGCATCGTTTCCAGGCCTTTGACCATTTTGGTTGCCCTCATCTGGACACGTTCCAGTTTGTCAGTGTCCTTCAAAGAAGAGGAAGGTTAAATGAACAGCCAAAGTGATAACAGTTTTTAAATGCTAACGATATCTTACAAGCTTTACTCAGGCTTGCTTATACTTTCAAGAAAATAATCTTGCATTATTCTGCCAGGGGATCTTGCCACTCCCCAACTTCCCTGGTTTGATAACATTTTCTTCACGGATTAGCATGATAATACAGACAATTGACATGAAATACAGTGATGTTACCATGGTAGGTACCAACAACAAGTGGACATTGCTGTCCGGAATTGTAAAGCACAGATTACATACTACAAATTAAAACTTTCCTATTGTTGTTGTTGTTTAGTCGTTTAGCCGTGTCCGACTCTTCGTAACCCCATGGACCAGAGCACGCCAGGCACTCCTGTCTTCCACTGCCTCCCGCAGTTTGGTCAAACTCATGCTGGTAGCTTCAAGAACACTGTCCCACCATCTCGTCCTCTGTCGTCCCCTTCTCCTTGTGCCCTCCATCTTTCCCAACATCAGGGTCTTTTCCAGGGAGTCTTCTCTTCTCATGAGGTGGCCAAAGCATTGGAGCCTCAGCTTCAGGATCTGTCCTTCCAGTGACCACTCAGGGCTGATTTCCTTAAGGATGGAGAGGTTTGATCTTCTTGCAGTCCATGGGACTCTCAAGAGTCTCCTCCAGCACCAGTATTCAAAAGCATCAATTCTTCGGCGATCAGCCTTCTTTATGGTCCAGTTCTCACTTCCATACATCACTACTGGGAAAACCATGGCTTTGTGTGCAATGTTTCTTCATGGAGGAAGCTCTGGCATGCTGTTGCATCGCTCATACACCTGTGATTGCCTTTCTGTTCACCCAGGAATTTTAAATAATTTAGAAATTATGGCCTCTATTTTATTTATTTTAAAAATAAAACTCTAAGGGGTGCTGCCTTTTGTTGTATCCTGTAATGCCCCGCTTAATAGGTTTATGTTTTAGTTTGCATTTATTTTTATTGTATACTTTTAATTTACTATAAGCTGCTCATGTAATGTGGGGCATGCCAGATACGGTATACATACATACATTTGTGACTGCATTGACCTTTATTGCAATCTTTTGCCAAATTGCCCTTAAGAACGAACTCCTTTGCTCCCATGTCTCTTAATAACTAATAATAAGTTTTTCTCTTCCATTATATAATGCCATATACTCATATGCATCTATAATTGGTAGGCTATTCTTTTCAATGGGTATGGAGAATTCAAAAGGGGGCAGTGAGAATTGATTCAGGTAAGACATCCGCTTGTCATTGTAGCCATGTTGCAGCACGATTGAAAGAATTCAGTGCGTATCTGTTCCTGCAGCTTGTTTTGTTTACTGCAGCTGCCCATCTCTCATCCCATCTGCTGGAGATTTTGCTAAGCTAGCCTTTAAAATATGTGTGGTTTTTAATGAATGCAGTGCTCAGGAAAGGGAGTTGGCAGAGGATATTGCGGGCATGTCAGCTTTCCTCGTCATCTTGCATATGAGCTTTTAATGCCAAATTAGGATGTCCCTTGATATCTACGTGTGCCAAATTCTTGTGCAGCAATGTTGATTTTACTACTGGTTGCCCAATTCCTCCTTCCCTCGCTATTCCTCAGGGACTGGTAAAAAAGGAGGCAAGTAGGATGAGCATGCCATACTATGGGTGGCAGATTCAGCAGCCCACAGACACCCTGAACCCAAAGATCTTTTCAGTTTTAACACACAGCTCTCCCTCTTCTTCTCTCCGACTGCTATCACACTCTCCCTCTCTCTTTTCCCTTCATCAGCCACTTTCTTCAAGAAGGGGTGGAACATTCTGAAAATCTTGCTGTCAGCCTTCTTCATCCTCTTTCTCTCCAACTTCTTCTTCCTCCTCTTCTTATTTTCCAGCGTTTCACATCCATCATTGTCAAGTTCTGCAATCTCTCTTTGTTGTGTGCTTCTGGCAAACTATGGATCCATATACAACAGGCTGAGTAAGAATTGTGGCTTTTCTCACCCAGTAGATCGTTCTATAAGGGAAGTAATTGCTTGTGGTATCCATGATAGTGTCCTCAAAGAGTGGCCGATCTGCAGGGCCGCAGAAACTGTGAAAGCACAAGTCAAAGATCTGATTTCAGATGAAAATGTTGTTTACACTCTGAATATTAAGGAACAGAGTATGAGGAGGCCAGTTGCAAAAGTAGAAATAGCTCCCCCACAAGTAACCATAAGGGGAGAAATACAAAAGAAACAAGCATGAAAAACTGCGGAATGCAACATAATCCTAAATAGAGCATTTGGAAAATGTCGTTTTAACTATGGGAAGTACAATCATTTTGCAAGCTGTTGGCAAACCAGAGGAGGGTGGGATCAGATGCGCACTGTTGGAAGAAACTTTAGATGAGGAGTTGGCAGAAGCAAGAAATATTGGTGGAAAGGTACTGGATCATTTTTATATTGGTGAAAGGGACTGGGCCGTTTAGAATAGCTTGGTACATGGAAATGTAGCCTAACACTGTAATAGGATACGACCAGAGAACCATCTCATCCAGCACTCTGTTCTGATCATAGAATCATAGTGGAAAGGGACCCTGGGAGTCATCTAGTGCAGCCCCCGCAATGCAGGAATATGCAGCTGTCCCATGCAGGGATCAAACCTGCAACCTTGATGTCATCAGCACCACACCCTAACCAACTGAGCTATCCTGGCCACACAGTGATCAAATGCCTATGGAAAGCCCGCAAAGCAGGCCATGAACACAACCAGTAACTTTAGGCTGCACTGCAATTCAAAACACAATCACTTAAATGCACTCACAGCTTGAAGATGATGGATTTTTCGGAGCTAGGGGACCTGACCAGAAGAGTCCACGACCTGAAGGAGGAGGAGTACCAGGAGGAATGGATGAAATCCAAAGACTATTTCGTTAAATATGCTAAGATAATTTAAATAGAAATACTTGCAAAAACCAGATAGGCTTAGGACTTAAATATGTGATGTTATAGAATAATATGTTTAAAGTTAAAATGAAAAGAAAGAAAGATGTTGAGTGATTAAGTTAATTTTATGAGAAATACGTTTTGGAAAACTGTTACAATGATATACACTGAAACTCAGCCAGGGGGATTCGAGGAAGTCACTTAACAATGTTACTAAGATTGGATTAAGTACAGTTAGGATGTTTGTTTGTTTATAAATTTTGGAAAATCAATAAAAAATTTGAAAAATAAAATAAAATAAATGCCGGGTGCAGAAGATAATGCCGGGTGCAGGAATGATACTCAGAATGCCCTCTCATTACAGGAAGAGATCATTTTCTTTCTTTTCAAACAGCAGCAACGCTGGATGAAAGCTGGCGCATTAGAAACAACTAGCCATTGGCTCCAAAAGAAACTTCTGCAACTGGTGCCAAAGTCAATGTTATGCTTATCTATTTCTGGAAGAATAATTCCAGTAGAAATTATATTCTATATCCAGCTTCCAAATTGGGAGCTCCAGGTGATAGAGCTAACTGTGCCCAGATAATCCGGACAGAAGCATGACAACTAAGCATACTTAAAGTGTGTAAGGGGGCAGAGACAAAGATAAACAGCATCTTCCATTCCCACAATCTACATTGGAAAGATTTGGTGCTGTCACTACATGCAGCAGTGATTAGATATGGCATTAATATCACAGAGGGGCAAGACAGAGAGAAAAATCTCTGGTTCTGGAAAGCCAGACTGATATAATAGATAACTAAGCATGCGGGTGGCGCTGTGGGTTAAACCACAGAGCCTAGGACTTGCCGATCAGAAGGTTGGCGGTTCAAATCCCCGCGATGGGGTGAGCTCCCGTTGCTCGGTCCCTGCTCCTGCCAACCTAGCAGTTTGAAAGCACGTCAAAGTGCAAGTAGATAAATAGGTACCGCTCCGGCGGGAAGGTAAACGGCGTTTCCGTGTGCTGCTCTGGTTCGCCAGAAGCGGCTTAGTCATGCTGGCCACATGACCAGGAAGCTGTACGCCGGCTCCCTCAGCCTCTAAAGCGAGATGAGCGCCGCAACCCCAGAGTCGGTCACAACTGGACCTAATGGTCAGGGGTCCCTTTACCTTTACTTTTAAGCAGATTTTGGATAAGGGAGACCTGGGTTCAAATCCCTCCTTAGCTACGAAGCTCATCTCGGCCAAATCACAAGCTCTAAGGTGCACTGCCTTGATGGGTTATTGCAACCCGTAGTGATATGCATTGCTATAAGCTCCTAAGAAGTGAAATAGAAATGTAACAGTAAATATAATTAGAAGTTGCTGAACTGGTGCCAAATAAAGGAGGGGAAGAAGGCAAGACACAGAGATCCTTGGGCTGTAAATGTTTGGTAACTTTGGAAGGGGTTACACTCTCCCTGAAGGGGCTCCAGCTCTGTCACTTTGTGATTACTTTGTCATTGAAATTCTACTCCATATTGATCCAGAGTAGATTCCAATGTATAGTTAGCAGAGTAAAATCTTAAACACATTGCAGGATTCCCAAATGATAGACCAGAGGCAATTGTATTTCATCCAGCAGAGCTTTACTGCTACTGAAGGCAAATGGTCACGAATCCAATATATTTCGGATTGGCACTGTCCATAAGAAATCCAGTTGCAGCAGACTAGTATTAAGACTAAACCTTAATACTATATACAGTCATACCTCCGTTTACGTAACCCTCTGGCTACATAAACTTTGGGATGCGCGCATGGCAATCCCGGAAGTATTTGACCGGGTTTCATTGCGCGCGCATGTGCAGAAGCGATCCTCAGGTTGCGGAAACCTCGGGATCTGACTGGACCTCTGGAACGGATCCCATCTGCAACTGGAGGTACCACTGTACAGAACACCACACCAATAGGAAAAGAGATAGAGACAGAAAGTGAAACCAAGGCTCCTTCTGGCCTCTCATTATAGTCAGCATGACCTTGACAGAAAGAGATAAGACAACCAGTTTGTCTATTTATTTTAATTTTAATTTTAATTTTATTTAACATAATTGTTACAAAATATAAGCAAAACACTGCAAATACATACACACATATACACTTCAGATAAGAACATATACATGAAAAAGGAAGAAAAGAAGAAAAGAGAAAAGAAGAAAAAATAAAGAGAAAAGAAGACGAAGAAGAAAAATTGGAAGAATTTCTTCCAAATTTATTCTACAAATATCTCAATATGAAAATAATAATAAAATTTCATTGATTGACTTCCATCGCTTACATTGCACTTCCTATATACATTTTAAGCAAGACTGTATCTGTTATTCTGTATTTTTCCCATACAATCTCACACAAATATTCTAATCTATAAGTTTTCTAAATCTTTCATAAATTTATTCTAAACACAACCAATACCTTACATTTAATCCTTGTCTACATAAATAATCATTTAGACATTTCCATTGTTTCTAGATTATATTTTTTAGTTTTTGTCTTATCACATCAGTCAACTTTGCTAATGCCAAGTATTCGCATAATTTATTCAACCATTCTTCTATGGTTGGAACATAATTTCCTTTCCAATTATTGGCTAGCAACATTCTCGCTGCTGTTGTTGCGTACAAGAAAATATTAAGACAACCAAAATAAGACAACCAGTTTAAGCCAGCTGTACTCAGCTTCTCTGAAGGAATAACCCAAACATCATGAACCTTCTGCTTGCTTCTCTCACACAGAAAAGCTTCCAGAACCCTCTTGAATTAATTAGAATAGGAAAGATCGCTACACATCAGATCAATACTTTCTACACTAAGAAATGCAAACTGAGAACTATAATGCAATCTATGTAGGGCTGCCCTTTGGGTTGGGCCGGAGGCTGTTGTTGGTGCCAAACACAGTGGCCAGGTTGCTTGCATATACCGTATTTTTCGCTCTATAAGATGCACCAGAACACAAGACGCACCTAGTTTTTGGAGGAGGAAAACAAGAAAAAAAATATTCTGAATCTCAGAAGCCAGAACAACAAGAGGGATCACTGCACAGCGAAAGCAGCAATCCCTCTTGCTGTTCTGGCTTCTGGGATAGCTGCGCAGCCTGCATTCGCTCCATAAGACGCACACACATTTCCCCTTACATTTTAGGAGGGAAAAAGTGAGTCTTATAGACCAAAAAATACAGTACCTGCAAACAACTGCCTGCACATAACAACCTGCTTTCAGGATTTGCACTGGCTGCCCATCTGCTACCAGGACAAGTTCAAGGTGTTGCCTGAGAGGCTGCCACCCAGTGGCGTAGCGTGGGGGGTGCAGGGGGTGCCGGCCGCACCGGGCGCAACATCTGGGGGGGGCGCGCTCGCACTCTCAGCTCTCTGCCCCTACCTGGCTCACTCACTCTCTCTCACTGCAGTGCTGGCTGTGCGAATCCGATCCGAGCCGCTGGGTCGCCGCCCACTGTGGAGGGGTGGGTGCCAGGCGTGCGGTGCGGAGAGAGAGCGAGGGACTATCTGGGGGAGGGACAGTGCAGCGGCCGCCCAGCGCAGCGCTGAGCGCGGGAGAGAACCACACCAGACCAGCCCAGGCAGCAGCAAGAAGAAGCTGGCAGCGGCGGCAGGTTAGGGGTTAGGGGGCGCAAATTACTTGCCTTGCCCCGGGTTAGGAGGCGCAAATTACTTGCCTTGCCCCAGGTGCTGACAACCCACGCTACGCCGCTGCTGCCACCTCCTTTACCTATGCAGTAGAACCCTGCAGTCTGAGGGAGAGTTTTTCCTCCAAGTTCTAACTTGCTCGGAAGTCCCCTCTGCAGTAGCACAGAGTAGGGCTTTCAGTGCAGTGGCCTCTGTTCTTTGCAACAGCATACCTGTTGAGATATGACCAGCACCCATGCTGATGCACTGGAAACAATTGAAGACATTTTTGCTCCAATGGGCTTCCACAGTTGGATGAATGGATCTTTACCTCATTGCAAGAAGCAAAGCTACAGGGAACCAGGCAGAGGGCCTTCTCGGTAGTGGCGCCAGCCCTGTGGAACACCCTCCCATCAGATGTCAAGGAAATAAACAACTATCTGACTTTTAGAAGACATCTTAAGGCAGCCCTGTTCAGGGAAGTTTTTAATGTGTGACATTTTAGTGTATTTTTGGTCTCTGTGGAAGCCGCCCAGAGTGGCTGGGGAAACCCAGCCAGATGGGTGGGGTATAAATAATAAATTATTATTATTATTATTATTATTATTATTATTATTATTATTTACCATGAGCGTCCACTTGTTAAGCTTTTAGTCTTGTTTTAAATCTATTTGTTGGTTTGGTGCTTTTAAGTGTTTTTAATAATCTTACGTGGAAATCGCCTTGAGACCATTTTCAGAAGACAAATAATAAATTGATGACAACAAGAATAATATAGTAACATAGGATCAGTGCTCTCAGTTTTTAAAATTGGTGTTTGGGCTTTGGAGAAGGTGGTGAGATTTATTTTTCTTTTAGCTTTGCTTTTCCTTCTTATTTTGTCTTCGAATTGTTATTTATGTGCCATAAGCCACCCATAATCAAAGATTAGGCAGTCAAGAAATAAATGTATGTTGTGCGTCAACATGTTTATTCTGCCTTCACTTGCACTCACTAACATGACACACACACCCTCACTGAGATGGAATTTCCCATCGGAGCAGAACACTGGATGTGAAAAGCCTTGAGGACCCTTCCCAAAATAGCACAACTGTGTCTGTTCCAGGTCACAAAAATAAAATGAAAACAAGCAACCC